TCCAGGGTTAGAAACTAACAGTTTTTGTCCAATACTCCTTATAATGATAACATATAGCAAAACCCTTCTCGTCCTTATGATACCTTTACTATTGGGCAGTTTGGTAAGGACTACAGGACCAGTGCCAATTTCTAATGCTATATTCTCTCAGAATGTTTTCAGTTCTCTTATAAAAAAATATCTCTTTGGAGGGATAATATGGTAAATTTCAGCATTGGCTCTTTGGTCAGTATATTATCTAAATCAACCTTGGTAAATTGTTTGTTGTTGAAAACTGTACTTAGCAATATAACAGCGTTGTGATGTGGCATGTTTATATATAGCGTGAGAAATTCACACTAGTCCTGTAGTCCTTGCCAAACCTTTTCGGTTTGTAATCCATAATAAGCATTGTCGGCCTACCTTAAGAATATACAGTACCACAAACTTTTCAAACACTTGACAATACCCTTTGACTTAATTTAGGCCTACCTTTGGAATATAGTACCACAAACCTTTCAAACACGTGACAATAACCTATGACGTAATTTGTTGTATTTTGTTGCAAGTCACACCAGCGAAACAATGCCCTGTGTTGTCAGGGGTCAGGGGAGTGTGCATAAGCTCCTCCCAGTGATCTATCATCTCTACACGCAATATCTTTGAATACGCCCAGCAGTGTTGAGAGTTTTGAATATTTGTTTACTAAATATAGCCTGCCGCGGCGCATTTTATAGCAAGCGCTAGTTTACGAAAGCACTTTTATTTTTTATATATTTTTTATTTCGTTTTTCTCGTAATTCAAGTGGCTAAAATGGTTATAAATGGGAACTTATATACATATGTTATTTTTTTCGGTTCATTAATATTCATTATTATGCACAGGGATATTATATAGGAGCTGAACACATCCAAATGTCGGCAGTGTTAGGGTAGGTTACCCCGAACTCTATCCTTAGCCCTTGGATCCCCTTATGATCATAAGGGTTAGGTAGATCTACCCGTTTAGTGGCGATTATAAATTTTATAGCGGCTCCTAATATTCTTCACACAAAAACGTCAAGTTAAAAGGATGAAAGGGTTTTGTGTCCAATACTTTGGCTACTGGAAACTGTCCTGGAACATTCACACAAGCCACTTTCACCGGCTACATTGTTTCAGTACTGATTCAAAAGCGAACTCACCGTTGTGTCGTCACTAGCCATGCTCATGCCTCCCTCGTTCCTTACTATTATCCACATCATCCTTACAGTGTTTCCTGGGGCGGTCGGGTAGCCTAGTGGTTAAAGCATTCGCTTGTCACGCCGAAGATCCGGGTTCGAATCCCGACATGGGTACAATGTGTGAAGCCCATTTCTGGTGTCCCCTGCCGTGATCTTGCTGGAATATTGCTAAAAGCGGCGTAAAGGCAAACTCTCTCTCCCACTCACTCACTACAGTGTTTCCTACCACACTTTTCTGTCACAAAATTCACCCGACTATTTATTATATACCATGTCATTCATGCGTGCTCGTGAGTTCGACGTCTGACGTCTGGAGCCATTTTCAGTTCGCGCCATATCGGATCATTAATAATAATGATAATAATAATGATAATAATAATGTATGCATTTGTATAGATTATGGAATGGGACGACTGTGCCAAATGGCATCGGGATCATTCGTAAGTGTCCGTAGACTAAAGTCAAGAGACACTATGCCTACCCGTAACCTTCATAAGTGTCCGTCACCTATTTGACCCTTTTTGTTCAGTTCCATAATGTTGTAGGCATGACGCGGTAAATTTGCACTTAGTTTCACAGTGTGGACGTAGCTCAGTCGGTTAGCTGTCGGGCTAATAATCCGAAGGTCGTGAGTTCGCGTCAGACGGATTCTCACAAAAACTGGTTGCTTGTCTTTGAGACATGACCTACAGCAGAGATCGTTCTTGCGAGAAGTTGTGGTACTGTATTCTAAAGGTGCTCCGCATTGTCTTGTGTGTAAAAAAGTACAGGTTACCTGCTTCACTGGCTGAGAGATTAGTGATGTTATTTGATTATGATGTCATGGTAAATGATGATGTCATAATGTTCTGCAAAGCATTGTGATGCAATTTCATTGCAGTGATATCACCTTGATTTCATCCCAACGATGACTGCCTCCGTGGTCTAGTGGTAGAACGTCCACCTGGAGAGCAGAAGGTCTGGGATTTGATCCACGGCCAAGTCACACCAAAAGACGTTTAAAGATGGTACTTTTTGTTACCCTGAGTCAGTATACTGTGTATATGTGCCAGACAGGGTAACAACAAGTACTATCTTTTAACGTCTTTTGGTATGACGAAGACGGGGATTGAACCCCGGACCTTCTGGTCTCCGGGCGGACACTCTACAACTAGACCATGGAGGCGGTCGATTAAGAACATGAAAACATTTGGAAAATTTCTGTTGATGACATGTTGACGGTACACGTTTTGCAAATCCTGCAATCGACTGACATCTGTACGGCAGTTTACGAACCGGATGTCGATTTCATTGTGCTATTTTGATTGGGCTATGCAAAGACTCGTAAGGTCCAGTCAAATTAAAACTCCTTAATTCCAACCTAGTTCGGCAATTGGATTTATTTAGTCAGTTAACTCCCTTGATCAATTTTAATTTTTAAAAGTGTTCTGTTTATAAACAAAATTGGTCACTAGTGGGATACGATCTCAGCATCTGGTGCTTGCTAGCCTGGAGTTGTTGAGCATGCTTTCCCACTCCGCCCCTGGAGTACATGTCCTGGGTGAAGGAGCGGGGTGAGTCCTGAGCCTATGTCAGGGGACACACAACATTCATTTACAAGGGGCAGATAACCTGTAAGTCTTGACATTCAAGGAGGCTGCTCTGTTCAGTCAGTTCAAATTCCCCAATTGTAATAAAATCATTCCCACTGGTTGCAGTTATTGGTACAACGGATGTTATGGCTTTGTGGGTGGTGACTTGTGTTAAACTGATAACAGGATCAGTAAGGAGGATCAATGAAACTTTAATACTTTGTTTTACACAATTGACTTGTTATTAATATGTTGAAAGAAATATAATATATCCTAATTTAAGAAAGTAATTTTGAGAAAATAATGATATTTTCTAGGGCTGCAACGAATACACTATGAGGCGAATACGATTCATATCACGAATATAGAGTAACAAATATGAGTATTAATTCACAATTACAATAACAAGTCAGCAGTTTATGTAGTATTTATTATATTCAGTGAAACAATAACATCATAATTTATTTGACATTGTTTGTTAATTATTAATAAATTATACATTTATATACTGCACTTATCCAGGTACTAGTATCTGCTCAAAAGCACAATGACCAGTGACAACAATACTATCAAATTAAATATTATTAGAGTGTTGTCATTGAAAGAAATCTATGCATATAATATGTTGTTATGGATATTTTTAGGTACAGGGTATGTAAATATACATGATAGCATATTCATAAATATTCGATTCTAGTGGCCATGAATAACAAATTTAATTCATTAATGGTTACGGTTCGATTCACCGAATACGAGAGTGAATCGTAACAGCCCTAATATTTTCCCAATTTGCCTGCAAATTGGGCAGTTAGTTTGGAATCCTAGATAATACAACTCTAAAACGCTGCTTACAAACTATAATCAATTGTCCAAGAGTCCAAGATGTTATTTCTGCTAGTTGACTATGAGATGTCAATCTGCTCCTACCAGTAGTTATAACCCCTGGTTCCTGGCATTACCAAATGTCTGACCCATGAAGATCTGGGTGATAATTGGTCTCCAGGAACCCATGCTTGTTGTAAGAGGCGACTAACAGTTGTTGAGTCGTCTCAAGTAGGTAGGCTTTTTTTCCAGGGATTCATTCAGACCTGAGGGGCCCAAAATTCCCAATAAATATTGTTATAGTAATATATAACTAATATGTTATAGCTTTGTATTTCACTGATAACAGGACCAATATAGAGGAAGAGGCTTAACGATTAGTTTTACATTATTGCATTGAATGCAATGTTGAAAGGTAATGTCAAAATACCTGGTACTTTTGAATTTAAGAAAATGAAAAATTTAATAACATTTTTTTTTTTAACAAAAAACGCTTTTGCCCCATCTGCCTGTCAAGAGAACTTTGTTTGGAATCCTAGATAAATAATTGTTACTTTTTTTGTTTTTGCAACAACAGTTATTTTGAAAACTGATTATCTGATGGTATTATATTTTCATAGTTTCTTTATGTCATGATTGACTATTTGATTCAGATTAATTAATTTGATTAAAATGTTGTGAAGATTATTTTTGGAGAATTGGAAGACTACGTTATAAAAGTGCAGTATTAGAAATTGGCACTAGTCCGGTAGTCCTTGCCAAACTGGCCAATTCTTAAGGTATCATGAGGACTAGTAGAAATTAGCCATTTTTTAAGGGTTTTGCTAAGTGTTATCATTGTAAGGACTAGTAGACTAAAAAGGTTAATTTCTACCCCTGAAGTGTATTTGAAATACAAACAAATAATGTTCATAATAAACATATTTTCAGCAGTAGAAACCTTGAAACTAACATTTTTAGTCCACTAGTCCATATAATAAGATATAGCAAAACCCTTAAAAGTTGGAAAATTCTACTAGTCCTTCTGATACCTTAACTATTGGGCAGTTTGGCAAGGACTACAGGACTAGTGCTAATTTCTAATGCTGATTTTAATCAACATGATCAAAGAACAATAAAACATTGTGTGTGTTTTGCAAAGTGTAAGGCCACGCTTATATGTAAATCAAGCTACATTGTTCTGTCAAAGGTAAATTAACAAGCTTGTGGAGCAAATATATCAGATAACAATACTCTTAATTAGAAGTCATAATCTGCACTTGTCTAAATCAAAGAAAGAATTAAAAAGTAATTATAGCAGTTCAGGCTCCAGTTAGGCTTATCCTTTTGAGTCTGTCTACTGAAGGTTGAATGTTCAGATTGACTGTACGAAGGGCAGCAGTCCCAGCACTGTGTTGGTATGCAGCCATCAATCATGTACCAGCTTGTATGAAGCAAAGGATTGTTTGCTGTGGCCCCCACATATAAACTCAATGCCTCCATGTGTGTCAGTGTTGGTATCGACAGGCTACGTCACACATCACACCTTGGACTTAGGCAACCATGAAGAAAGGTAATGTTATGCTGTTTAGTGACATCAAGTTCATTTAATATTACTGTTAATCAAACCTGTGGAATAAGAGATGAGAACTTAAATCAACACTTGAGACAAAAGTTGATGTTTGATAATGTAAAGCGTGGACGTTTTGTATTACATTGAGATAGATCGTGAGGTGGTTATTTTGTAAGGCCGTGTGAAATAAAGCATGAAAGGGGCCCATGTTATAGCCCTAATGTTAAAAGTTGAAGTACTGTCAGGTCAGTTTGACAGTTACTGAGTACACCAAGATCATTGTCATAATGTGAAATGCTTAGATGTAGCTTACTAGCTTTCTATACTTAATCCCTGCCATTGTGTTGTGAGCAATGTCACTGGCCACACACAACACACACCTGTAGCAGTCACACAGTGGCAGAGAAGGCAGTCATGCTACATATGTGCCTAATATAAAGTTTTCATCAGAAAGATCTGGCTTGATGTTAAGCATGTTTTATGTTTTAAAATTGCTCTTATCAGTGTGTGTTTAACTTGTGACAATTAAGTTAACTATATCTGTCGGTCACATCATCAACATGTGTTGCAGTTAATCATTGAATATATGTCAGAATGCCTCTACTTGTGAGTGATAAGTGCTACGTCAGTAGTGATAGATTGAGGATTAAATGATCAATAGTGTTAGAATTTAAGCAGTGATTTTGCTAGAGACAAATGTCATGGGACATTTTCTTTTTTCTTTTCAAATTTTCATTCTTTATCAATCTGTATTTGAAAACAATTTAGGGTGACAGAAAGTATGTGTCCTAGAAAATGAACTGATCTGACAAGCTGGTTAGGATGAAAGTGAAGAGATCCTTGTCCTCACAAGATCTAGGAGGTATGGGACAAAACTAGTAGAGCAAGAAAGAATACTATGATGTTGGAGTCTGTGTTACAGAGTGATATACAGACAGACAGCAATGGGCAGGTAGTCGTGTACACAGGGAGTTAGAATGGAGAGTGGCCAGGACAAAAGAGAATTTGGGTGGGGTCAACTTGTGTAGCTGTGCATGTGGAGGACTGCTTGACATTGTAAATTATTAACATGGCTGCTTCAGTAGTTTGCATTGGAAATAACAATACCTGGTAATAGCATAAATACTAACTATGAATTCAGTTTTCAGTCCTTTCTTGTGTTGCACATGGTTTTGAAGAAACATTTTCTCACCCCATTATTAGATGACATTACACTCAATTATACTTTTTCTTCACTTCTGAGTATTCTAGAGAAAAGCTGCTACTAAAACTTACACATTGCTTTGTACTTGTTGTATATTCAATGTTGGTAAACATTTTGACAAAGGGATGACCACAGTTCACCAGACCCAGTGTTTTTGCTTAAGATTATTGACATTGGGGCATTTTATCAACTTTAATAGGACATTCTTCTACCATGTCTTAGGACACTTTGGATAACAGTGAGTCTGTGTCAAAGAAAATGAACCGATCTGAAACACTGAGACTGGTCTGTTAGTTTATGAATCGCTGGCAACAGCTGTAGCATCATGGCAGTTACAATGTCTTGGGTTAATTACGTGGTGTAACAAGACCGTGGAGCAGGGACATCATGCATGTGAGCATTGTATGTTGTATAATCCACGAAGCAGTATTAACCAGATAGAAGCTTTTTGTTTTCATTATATTACTAAAGCTTGTCAGGAAGTAAGCTTAAATGAAACTCTTAATATTTATATTTTCTTCCACATCTGTCACATTTTGGTCGCTGATCCATCATTGGAAGAATAATTGGATGTTGGTTCAAGTCTTGCTGTTGACAGCTGGTTTTTTGTTTTTGCAAAACAGAAATTTGTATTCACACAGCAATTTGTTTGTATCCTGACAAATGATGTGGAGTTCTTATATCCCGTTCATCTCTTTGCACTTATTGAAGTCTGACTTCCACCAAGTCACCGTTAGTTGTCTCTTATGACAAGCATAGTCGCTACAGCCAGCATGGGCTGCTGAAGACCTATTCTAACCGGGTTGTTGACCAATTCTGTGGTGACTCACTAGGTGACCACAATGAAAGACCAACGGTGACTGTGTGACGTCATCCCCGCTCACACCTTTGACCACTGGTTATTTCGTGTCCGAACATTGTGTTACATTGTGTTACATGCTATCACTGATTACAGTGCAAAACAACATTCAGTGACTCACTTTGGTTAAGCAATGAATTTCATGTCAGTGTGTAACAGTTCGGTCACCTGGATGTGGACTGCATGTCCCTTGCTTGTGTATTAGTTGTACACCATATGGTGATACACACAGTGTATGGTGATACACACAGTGTATGGTGATACACACAGTGTATGGTGATACACACACTGTATGGTGATACACACAGTGTATGGTGATACACACAGTGTATGGTGATACACACACTGTATGGTGATACACACACTGTATGGTGATACACACACTGTATGGTGATACACACAGTGTATGGTGATACACACAGTGTATGGTGATACACACAGTGTATGGTGATACACACAGTGTATGGTGATACACACACTGTATGGTGATACACACAGTGTATGGTGATACACACACTGTATGGTGATACACACACTGTATGGTGATACACACAGTGTATGGTGATACACACAGTGTATGGTGATACACACACTGTATGGTGATACACACACTGTATGGTGATACACACAGTGTATGGTGATACACACAGTGTATGGTGATACACACACTGTATGGTGATACACACAGTGTATGGTGATACACACACCGTATGGTGATACACACACTGTATGGTGATACACACACTGTATGGTGATACACACAGTGTATGGTGATACACACACTGTATGGTGATACACACACTGTATGGTGATACACACTGAATGGTGATACACACTGAATGGTGATACACACTGTATGGTGATACACACACTGTATGGTGATACACACACTGTATGGTGATACACACTGTATGGTGATACACACACTGTATGGTGATACACACACTGTATGGTGATACACACACTGAATGGTGATACACACTGTATGGTGATACACACACTGTATGGTGATACACACACTGTATGGTGATACACACTGTATGGTGATACACACACTGTATGGTGATACACACACCGTATGGTGATACACACACTGTATGGTGATACACACACTGTATGGTGATACACACACTGTATGGTGATACACACAGTGTATGGTGATACACACACTGTATGGTGATATACACACTATGGTGATACACACACTGTATGGTGATACACACACTGTATGGTGATATACACACTATGGTGATACACACACTGTATGGTGATACACACACTGTATGGTTATACGCACACTGTATGGTGATACACACACTGTATGGTGATACACACACTGTATGGTGATACATTTGGTGTTGTTACAGAACTAGGCAACATGAAGGCTCTGATCCTGGTGGGCGGGTACGGCACACGGTTACGTCCGTTGACGCTCAGTAAAGCCAAGCCGCTGGTGGAGTTTGGGAACAAGCCCATGCTGCTGCACCAAGTGGAGGCTCTAGTTGAGGTAACTGTTTCATCTCTTTACATCATTATCATTATCATGAGCCAAGGAATGGAGATGCATGTTTTTGTCTTTATCAATACTACTTAAGTAACATGTTCCACCCATTCAAAGTTTCATGCACCATCATTTATTGCACCAACTTTTGGTAGATAATTACAAGAAGCTTGTTCTATTTGTCCTTGGACAATGAAAATATCCAGGTACTTAGTCAGCAGGGAGGAGTCTGTAGTTGATAGAGACACTGGACAACATTAATTGTGTCCTGATACCCTAGCACACAAGAGACTACACGGGAGAGTATATCACCCACACCTCATGCTGACTGTTAAAATGTGTTGCCTGGCTGACAGTGACATTGTACTATCATGTTTGTCTGATCCATTTTGGAGGACTTGCCATGTTTAGCTGTAATAGTCCTGACTGCGCTGTCATACATTGTTTACTCAAGTCAATTTCTCAAATTGTTTCATGCATTTCCTTTTCAGCAATGTGTCATTAAAACATGCTTCAGAATTTATAGAGGTTGAAATATCATATCATTTTGTGTCTGAATTATGTTCTTACCTGTTAGTTGTCAGGGCTATTTCATTGTGGAATCTGATACACTTACCATCTTTACAGATAGAAAATTGAAAATAACAAGAGGACAGATATACTGATGGAAATACTTAAGGGAACATGGTGAAATATTGCACGTTAATGTTTTCTGGTGTGTTCAGTATAACTGGAGAAGGGGACACAGTGGTTTCAGCATTCTAAGGCCCCACCAGGGTCAACAGTCAGCCCAATATCCAGGCTCAGATGTTTTATCAAAGCAATACCCTTTTGGCTTTCATTCTACATGACTCTGACACATCCTGATTTGACTGCCCCAATCACTCGCTCACTTATGAGAGTTCATATGAAAGTTAATATTTGAGACATGCGACCCTTTTATCCCCCTCCCTGATTTCTTTCATCAATGAGACTACCTCCATGGTATTATAATATAGAGGTAGCCAAGCGTTCTGAATATGTGATCAGCTGACAGGTGTTTTCTGAGTGATACGGGAATTATTAATACTACCATTAGCTCCAGCAGGTTTTGACGGAGTACTGATTGCACACATGCTATGTTCCAGGCAGGTGTTAAACACATCATCCTGGCTGTCAGTTACCGAGCGGAGCAGATGGAGAAGGAACTCAAGTGTTTGGAACAACAGGTGAGGAAACAACATGGGAGGAAATCAATGTGTGAAATAGGGTATCTGCATGAGAATGTGTGAAATAGGGTATCTGCATGAGAATGTGTGAAATAGGGTATCTGCATGAGAATGTGTGAAATAGGGTATCTGCATGAGAATGTGTGAAATAGGGTATCTGCATGAGAATGTGTGAAATAGGGTATCTGCATGAGAATGTGTGAAATAGGGTATCTGCATGAGAATGTGTGAAATAGGGTATCTGCATGAGAATGTGTGAAATAGGGTATCTGCATGAGAATGTGTGAAATAGGGTATCTGCATGAGAATGTGTGAGTGTAGGGAGGACAACCTTCTGCTGATCTGTAGAATTTCTGCTTTCTGATTGGTTTGCTAGCTGTACCGAATTTCTGTTAGACAATGATATTGGTGATGACTGCGTCAAGCAAAAAGGCGTTTTTTAACCATTTCTTTCTCAAACCTTGCTGGTTGGCAATATAAAACATAGATTGTAGTCAGATTGTCACATTACTCATCAGTATTATTACCAAAGAGGTTTTTGTCAGTTTATCCTGGTAGAATAATAAGGCAAAGAAATGAGGTTGCCACCTCTGATTTGATACAATGCATTTTTCAGATTCGAAAATCTCACACTGTTGCATTTAGTTTCAAATTATTCACAAATATCACATCTACATTTGGAAATTCTTAACTGAAAACAGTTTATCTTGTATTTACTTTCAACTTCATTGATTTAATATGTCATCGTAGAATTTTGTTTAATTCCTCAAATCATGTCATGCATCCTGTTATATGCTAGAATGTGTACCGGTAGACAGAAACTTGGTGTTTCATATATGTGCATTGTCATTAGAACCCATGCTTGCCGTAAGAGGTGACTAACTGTTCAGACTCGCTGACTTGGTTGATGCATGTGATCGTATCCCAATTGTGTATACTGGCGCTTATGATGTCAATCACTGAACTGTCTGGACCAGACTCAATTAGTTACAGACCGCCGTCGTGTAGCTGGAATATTGCTGGGTGCATTAAAAAATAAAGCGAAAAAACATTGTCATAAGAGTCATTTTAATCAGACAAGCTTTTTTTTATATAATCAAAGTATTTAATTATATTAGTTTGAACATGTCAAGTACATATTATGACTATGAATAGCAACTCATGTTTTCATTGTTTTGTTTTCAGCTTGGAATTAAGATCACAATATCACTTGAAACAGAACCTCTTGGCACAGGTATGTTTAAAACTGATTACTCAGTCAAATCTTGAGACAAATATAGGTACCTTGGGACCTCGCCTACCCCAGAGAATGATCAGGTTCTCAGGCTTGGTGATTTTACTGATTACAAGTGGTCGTACACCGACAGCTTTCATCAGTGCTTGTGCATTCAATCACTGGTTGCCACTGTAACAGATGGACTGAATTATTGCTGACTGCAGTGTATAACAACATTCGCTCTCTCACTATATATATACAGTATTTCTGTGTACCCGTAATTACAGGTTTTTACCAATAAAATTAGGCTTGGACCGGTAATTCATGTATATTAAAGAATTGACCTTCACTTTGTAGTGAGTTCATTGGAGTATGAACCTTCATAGAGTGGGGGCCAAACTGTATGAATGTCGGAGCTTGCGACCCTGTTCATACAATGTTTGGCCCTCACTCTATGAAGGTTCATAGGGCAGTCTGGTAGCCTAGTGGTTAAAGCGTTCGCTCGTCACGCCAAAGACCCAGGTTCGAATCCCGACATGGGTACAATGTGTGAAGCCCATTTCTGGTGTCCCCGCCGTGATATTGCTGGAATATTGCCAAAAGCGGCGTAAAATCAAACTTACTCACTCACTCACACTATGAAGGTTCATACTCCAGTAAACTCACACAAAGTGAAAGTCAATTCTTATAGTTTTTTTATCACAATTTCATACCTCAAAGGATGTAGGCCAAGATCTAAACACAATTTCATTTAGTACGTGTGACGTCATGTTTACACTGACAGCCATACAACAACCAGCTATATCGCGGAATAAAATAGTTCCTGAAAAAGAGAGTTGACATGAGCGTATGGATGCATAACTTTCTCTTCAGAAACATCTTACACAACACATGTGTTCAAATAATATTACCATTAGATGAGAAATGTCTTTAAAGAACTACCTAAGTAAGTCAGTCACAATGACAGCGCGTCGTAATACATTTACATCAAGTACAAGACGTCAAAATGGCCAACACGATAAACGTGACGGGAGCGATTTCCGAAGTTGTTAATGAACCTGTGGCGGTTACATGTGTTAGTCATCATTGATCAACTGGCCGATCATTGAAAGGTGATTAAAGATGTGTCAAACAGACACTAAGGTAAATTCATAGTTTGCTGGAGACGGTCACTGTCAGCCTAGACACGGATTGAGTCGATACTACGATAATTTGGATGTGCATTTCTTCATTTGCTCATTAGGATGAGCCGTAGCGAGGATATTCGTGAACAATCATGCAGTCAAGCTCTCTGACTTTTATCAGTGCATACTGAAACGCAGAGACCAAGATTAAAGGTACTAAAAGATCAGAAACAACGCTTATGTATGTTTTCGTCCAAGGGAATTCCCAGGGGTTTCCCAGGGAATGTGGAAGTAGTCCGTCAGTGTTTACATCATTTCAAGAACACAGTCTCGTGAAAAACGTATGAATGTCAAATTGTGTCATTCATACACTTATGAACGTCAATTTCGCGGTCATGTGACCGACCTCTCGTCCAATTGAAAAGCCGTATATCGTGTAAACTTCAAATTAAAAAATTATATATATATGTGCAGCATGTGTATGTGTTTTGTGTAATATAGGAGTTATGTGTATTTGTGTTGCAGCTGGTCCTCTGGCCCTGGCCCGAGAGCTGCTCACACAGGATGAGGATCCCTTCTTTGTGCTCAACAGCGACATCATCTGTGACTTTCCCTTTAAAGACATGCTGCTGTTTCACAGGAACCATGGCAAAGAGGGAACCATTGTGGTAGGTGCTTTGATTTGTTGTTTTTTTGTATATTTTTTAACGCCACACTCAGCAATTTTCCAGCAGTATGATGGCGGTCTGTAAATAATCAAGTCTGGACCAGACAATCCAGTAATTGACTTCATGAGCATCAATCCACACAATTCAGATACGAAGAGATACATTTACAAAGTCAGCAAGTCTGACCACCAGTACCGTTAGTCGCCTCTTACGGCAAGCATGGGTTGTTAAAGACATATTCTAACCCGGATGCATGTCATTGTATCCCCATTGGGTAGATCGATGCTCATGATGTCAGTCAAGTGATTGTCTGGTCCAGACTTGATATCTGGAATAATGCTGAGTGCGGCATTAAACAACAAACAAACAAACAAACAAACAAAACTGATGAATGTTGTTACCTGATACCTTATCTTACATATTGTGTTACTCGGTGAAAATTGTGCTACCCGATAAATGGTGTGTTTTCTGATGAATAATGAGTTAACTGATGTCTTGTGTTAATAGATGAATGTTGAGTCACGTGAGACCTTATCCTACATGGAGCTTCAGTACAAGAAGCTTGAAAGTTCCAATAATCCTTTTTAAAAATGCAAGTTCTGTCCATCTTACCGAAGCAATGGCTTTAACTTACTATTAAAATCCAGTTTCCACCCTTGCCAAACAAGGCTGGAATTCTGGAGTAAGATTTTGGCTGGACTAACGAGTCTAGGCATAGTGCAATCAAAGTCACGTAACGAACGAGAGATCCGGTTAATAAACAACATGGATTTCAACATACACATTTCGGTCGTCTATAGGATTTGCAAAACATGTGCACCGCCAACTGGGCGTTGACAGATATTTTGCAAATATATTCATGTTTTTAATCAAGATCCTCAAGTGATTTGATGCACTTCGTGAAGTAAGACCTGTTTTATTACAATATAGATCTTGATAATCGATCTGATTGTCTTGACTGGACGCATTTCGACACAACTGCAAGTGATATTGAGAGGAGGAATCTGATTAGTCCATAGGAGACACATAACTTGCAATAGCCACTGGTGGCGCTACTATCGAGCCTGAAAATTCCAGCCTTGTTTGGCAAGGGTGAGAGCCAAAATAGATTTATTGACATAGAAGTGCTTTATAGCCCTAAGAAATATGAATCTACATGCAGAAATAGAGTGGTTGAGAGTATTTGTGAATGTTCTCAGGTGACGAAAGTAGAGGAGCCCTCCAAGTATGGTGTTGTGGTGTACGATGCAGAGAATGGCAGGATCAACCGGTTTGTGGAGAAACCCCCAGAATATGTGTCCAACAAGATCAATGCTGGAATGTACATCCTGAGTCCGTCCATGCTCAAGCGTATTAAGGTAAGATTGGTTGGAAACATGTCTTGATCAATCACTTAAATTATCTCCTCTTGGGCATAAATGCAAGTAATGGTCTTAAATGTTCAAAGTGATCTGCTGGAGTAAAAATATTCATACTAGAATAAATTATTCCACCCAACCAAGATAAAAATGTTCACTATAACACTACCTGTGTGATAACAAGAGTTGGACTCCATTTAACATACTGATACAAAAATGATATGGTGAATTTTACATTTATTCAAGTACCATTTATAGACTCTGCAACATTTTGTAAAATCACAGGAACATATATAAAAAAAACACTCGTAGTTTAACAAGACCATCCATCCACTCACCATGTGAAAGAAATATGGTTCATCCCAGACTGCAAACATCTACAACTCTAGCTGAAAATGTTAAACAGAATTGTGAGGATTGTAGGTTCAGAATACAAGTAAGTAACACGACACTACAAAATAAGAGGCAATAGCAGTAATACCTGACATCAAATGACATAAGAAGAAACAATGTTACTTCAGAGTCATGAACACTATCAATCGTGGGGGTTTCGAATGTAATACAAAGTGTGTCTTTGGCAATCACCTTATTCCATTGGGGGTTTAAATTTTCAGCTGCAACCAACATCGATAGAGAAAGAAGTTTTTCCCTTTATGGCCCAAGATGGTGAACTCTATGCAATGGAATTACAAGGTAGGTTTAATCATCATTTCCACAAGGGAGAGAAATATACTTTACTATTTTATACACACGTGGCCCAGAAGTGCAAGGCACCACAATTTGCTGGGCAGATTTGTATCCCTCAGGCATGCCATATTGCCACTCACTCACTCAGTCATGAAGGCAGAATTAGGTCCTGTAAAGGTTCTGATGTTAGCAGTGAGGTTCTAGTTTTGTAGATTTGGAAATTGTGTCATGATTTTAATTAGAGTGTGAGTTAAGTTTCAGAGATTAATTTCTTCATGATTTTAATTGGAGTGTGAGTGAAGTTTTAGAGATTAATTTCTTCAGTGTATAGTGGAACCTTATGAGAACATCATTTTCTGGAACGTTTACCATTTAACACCTCTGACAATCTACTGAAATGTAAAGGCTTGGTAGCTGATATAAACAAAGTATGTGTGTAGTTTTGTCTTGCAAGCATGAATTCAATGTAGGCATCGTTAGTGTGTATTGTTCTACCAGTTTTCTTTCTGTTGGTCATGAGTGTGAACATGTCTGATGTTTGGTGTTGTGTTGCAGGTTTCTGGATGGACGTTGGTCAGCCCAAGGACTTCCTGACAGGAATGTGTTTATATCTCAACTCCCTCAAACACAATCACCCAGAGAAGCTACACCAAGGTCCTTCCATTGTTGGCAATGTGCTGATTGTAAGTTTGTTTGAATGTGCCAGAATTCTGTTGTAGCCTCAAGGGACCAGCAGAAAGCACAATAGCCATCATACGGGGACATTTTGCTTTACATAGTTTACCGTTATTGTTTTCTCAAAAACATTGCAGTAAACACAAAATTGCAAAACAATACTTTGAACAATGTCCAAATAAATAAATTGAAAAGCTCCTGATACAGTAATAGATTTGTTTCTATTGATGGTGAAAACATTTATAGATGTTAGTGCGCAGGCTCAATCTATCTGTCTGTTCATATATGGGTTTTTTTCTGTCCAGGATCCCAGTGTCAAACTTGGAAACAACTGTCGAATAGGCCCCAATGTTACATTAGGCCCAGATGTTGTCATAGAAGATGGTGTTTGTATAAAAAGGTGTACAGTGCTCAAAGGTGCGACCATCAAGTCTCACTCCTGGCTGGAGTCCTGTATTATCGGCTGGAACTGTACAGTGGGCAACTGGGTGAGTAGTCCCTACACTTAGGCTGTAATGTTCTTTTTGCTAAATCCTTAGCAATATTCCTGCTGTATGACAATTGCCTGTACTAACAGAATCTAGACCAGACTAATAGGTAATTGAGTTAATGAACAAAATAAGACAAAATGACACTAAGTGTAATATATGGATGTTTATATGTCATAATGACAGAGAGGAATAATTACAGTACACATCTGAAGGAAAGAATCTTAAAAGAAAGAGGTTATTTAAAGTTCCCAAGTGAATGGAAACCAGATATGTAAACATTTCGGATTACTACTAAACTCAACATTGAGTTAATGACAAAGTTATTTGACATTGTACAGCTAACAGGTTGGAATTATGGGTGTACATTTTCCCCTGAAGTTTGAAGATTGGCTGTGTGTGTAGTGATGGGTTTCACGTTGCAGGTCCGGATGGAGAATGTGTCAGTGCTTGGGGAGGATGTTATAGTAAAGGATGAACTGTACATCAATGGAGGTCGCATCCTGCCACACAAGTCCATCTCCGAGTCCGTGCCAGACCCTCAGATCATCATGTAAGACAGCTAGCGGTGTAGTGAAGGACTGAAGCAGTACACAGAAGTCCATGGTTGTGGCATGCCAGAAGCTAAGAAATGATCACATCACTTTAAGAGGTTTTATTCTCGACTACTTCATTGCCATTCACTGACTCAAGTTCAAACCTCTTGACACACTTGGGTCTAATGGGATGTGTGCCGATTAACTTATATTATTCCTGGTGTGATGCCCTCAGACCACTGGATGTCTTAGTGTCACGTTTGTCTGTTGTGCTTGAGGTCACCTTTACCTATCTTAAACCATCTACAAAAATGTATTTCCTCTATGAATCAAAACAATTTGTTTTCAGCAATTCACTTTTGAAACTGCATAGGAGATGATTCAGTTTGAAAAATACACCTGATTGTCGGATTTTTAAAATACACTACCTAATTGTCAGATTTTAGAAAAAATGTGTTTGTCTGAAAGTGGAAATGAGATGGCTGCTTGCTGGTGCTTGTCCTAATTTTGCATAGCCATTCAGCCATGTCATGAAGCTTGTAATTTCTATTAAACGATCACTATCCTAATAATAGGGATACCAGGTTTATGGTATAAATAATCAATACTCTAGTAATCGGGAGACAGTGTCATTCAACCCCTGGTTTACAGTGATGGATCCTACTGCTGATTGTGTTCAATAACAATGTATATACCACCATCTGGTGGAGCCATTGTAAACTTGTTAATACCGAGTTACAGTCAGGAGTGGGAGTGTCTGCTGCTGAGATTAACTGTGTTTGTGACTGATCCATGTAACAATTCGTACAACTGTCCCAAATACTTTGCCATTTTGACAACTTGGTTGTCACTTGAAAGGTTATGTATATATTCTGCTATTTATGTGGTCATTGTGAAATAACTGTTGGTATATGTTCATTTTACATTATTAATGACATGTAAGACTTGTTGTTTTTGATATTGTTATGGCATAAATTCCTTAATACCACAAACTTGTTGGGAGAAGATTTATTATGGAGGTGTGCGACTGGTGTAGTTATAATAGCAGTATTTTCTACTGGTACCTGGTGGGGAAGGGTTGTCCATGAAGTCACACATCTGCTAGTTACATTATTATGATCTACTAACATTACATAATCATGGATAAAAATAGTCTCCCCATTGTGTTCATTCTAAGAGTACATGACATCCGGTTCATAAACATGGCGTCAACAGATATTTTCCAAATCATTTCATGTTATTAATCAAGGTGCTCAAGTGATTTGATGCACTTCGTGGGATCTTGATTATCGATCAGATCGTCTTGACTGGGTGCTGCCATTTTGTTTGAAGCAATTTCAAGTGATATGAGAGGTGAAATCTGATTGGTCAATAGGAGGGACATAACTCATAATAGCCACTAGTGGAGCTACGGTCGAGCCACATAATTCCATCGTAGTTCAGCTAGGGGGGAAACTGGACTTTTGTAGTCATTTAACACCCTTGCCTCGGGAAGATGTGCTTGTGTTAAAGGTAATAATACTTCAATCCAACTGAAATGTCACCAGTCTCAGCTGGCAGGCTTTATTTCCGACACTGATGTGACTATACTTCAGATGACATTGTGTTAAGATAAGAGATGTACAACTTATGTGTTCCAATACTAGTGTCCTGTAGTACGGAAGTACATTGCAGGGTTAGATCTCACTAGTCGGACATCACTGTTCCAGTTTAGCCACACAAAATTCTCGAGAAATGTGTTCCTATGTTTGTTATAATTTAGACATGAGCAGACAATGTTATTGTTCTCGATTGATATTATTTCACAAGTTGTCATTCTTAAGTATAATGGTTCCCTTGATAACAGAATTCCAGCCTTCATAATTCAGAACAGGACATTAAACCTTTTCCCTTTTGTTTGCCATTTTATGTTTAAGACAAGCATTCTCCTCCCACTATAGATATCAGCACCCTGAACATGCTTGCATGCTTTTTATGCTAAACAATTGTGGATGCGCTTCAAGTAGATGGGTAGAATTAGTGAAAATATGTTGGATGGGCTTATTTATTCATGGGGCTATATTTGGCCCTTAGGGTCATGCTGCATAGGCATGAAGAAGCTGACCTGGCTGTCTGGTTTCATAGCATTTATTTAATTTGTAATTAAGTAAATACTTACCATTGTCAAAATGTCTTTCTGAAAAGACAGGTATCACGTACATTTGCAGACGTCAAAACCTTTAAAAAAGAAAATGTTGACACTACTGATGGGGAAGTTAGGGCTTAGATAACAAATATATCTGGTTGTTTTGGAAATTTGATCTAGGGGAAATGTAGGGGAAAGAATCTTTGTGATGATAGTGCCACATGTGGAGTTCATTTGTTTGTAATGACCCCTGCACGATCAGATGTGTTACGGAGGACAGACAGAATGTGGGAATGACAGTTGGTTGTGTGTATGATGTCAGATGTATATAAGCTGTATCATGACCATTAAAACATTTTCTATATTAATTTGTGTGTTGTGTTGTGTTGTATGAGCTGCCATACATGTTATTGAACCAAATAACATAATATTACACCCCTTTATTAGCTCACATTTAGTTGTAACTGAAAGTCATGTGAGCATGTCCGGGATCCATCGGCGTTGTCGGCTCTGGAAACATCCACTCCTCAGAATCCACTGAACCAATGAAGCGGAAACTTCAATGATGAAACCTGAATTTGTTCAACAGGTTCCATTCTGCTTTTCAAAATGCAATAACTCGGAAATCTTTTGATCAAATGTAATGAAAGTGTATGTAGTTAGTAGTAGGGTGAATGAGTGAGTATGGTTTTATGCTGCTTTTAGCAATATTCCAGCAATTTCATGGCGGGGAACAGCAGAAAGTTAGTAGTAGGGCCTAACATACATGTTCCATGTTTTGCGATATTATCATCATTTTATTATGATACATCCTATTTTGTTCTGATCATTGAATTTGTGATTCTGTCATAACATTTTTTGTCATAAATATTTTAAAAATCAAATATTACAAAAAGATGAAAAAAAATCATTCTCAAGAACAAGGTGTAGAAACTTGTAGCCATTATCATACAAAGTTTCAAGTAAATTCAAAAGTGTTGGTATTGAATTAAATATTTTCAAGGAATCATCAGCAGTCGACTTTGGTGCTGTATATTATGTTGCACTAAATGTTCTAAAACACCATGGGGCTTGAAGTGATGTCAAAACATCCAAAGATGTCAAAAGAAGCCAAGAGATTGCACAATTGGAAAGTCATATTTTAGACCCGACCCTACCCCATGTGGAGAAAAATAGCAAAACAAGTTCAAGCAGGCTCTAGCTGTCTATGGACGGCAACCGCTGCTTTGACCAATTTGACTTGTGTATCAGTTACTCCTTGGCCAGTGAAAGCAAAAATGGCCATTGCTTTGGCCTTCAAGGCATAAGTAAGGTACCTTCAACCCTTCAAAGTGATGTCTCTTTCTAGTGACGGACTATTTAAAAGACAAATAACCCATACACTGACCTATGCGACCCTTGAAGATCCAGGTTAGAATTCGTCTTCAGCAATCCATACTTGTCGTAAGAGGCAATTAATGGGATCTGGTGGTCACTGTGTTCAAGATTATTGCACTTAAATAGCGACATCTGTGTTTGACTGATGCCCATCAAGATGCCATTCATCAGTTTAACATGAAAACCCCACTCACATACAGCACACTGACTCCAAGCCAAGGTACCTTCTTTTAACGACTTTTGGTATGACACAGCCAGGACCTTCTGCTCTCTGGGCAGATGCTCTACCACTTGACCATGAAGTCTGCAGTAGAAATAGCTTTGCATGCTCTTAGATATCTTCTAAATTGAAGCTGAAATTTGACATGGCTGGGACATGACCAAATTTACTATCTGGGTACCCATTGTAGATCTCAAGAAAAGGGTACAAACTGTCCAATTTGGAATTGTTTTTGGCAAAAACTATTTTAATAGATACACATATAAACTGATAACATAATGAATACACTGCAGTTGACTGAAGCTTTAGCTTTCACTCAAACATAGAAACGGTGGAAGGAATGCAAACATTAATGACATGCAGTGTAACCATGGAGTTTTATTATTATTGTCATTAAGCAATATACCACGCAAACTCATTAAAATCAGATCTTAGTTCTTGCTTTTGCTGAGCAAGGATCTGAGGACATCACATTACAGGTCACGTCAGAACGACCTTTCATCCGACCAATCAAAGCGTTGCTTACCAGATCATGAAAGTGACAGTCGGAATGCATTTTCTAATCATGCAACCTTGAAAACGTTAACACAGGGTATTCCGAATGACAGTTACAGCCCGTACAACTGATTCCGTTGATACTATTGTCTATGTCTTGTTTGCGTGGGATAAACATTTGAACGGAGAAAGCATTGCACAGTACGTGGGAAGCATTGCCATACAATTGCAACAATATATAAGACATCCGGAATATTCGTTTGTTCAGTTTTCAAAATTTTAATCGAGAACGGTGTCAACATATTTTTCAAGCATAGTCTGAAATGGAAGTCGCCAAGTTGAAACAAGTGCTGTAAAGCTCAAGAAAGCTGCTTTCTAATTGGCTAATGTCGACTTCTTGTTAGTTGTTTCAGTGGGAGGTCAAGGTTTGCAAAGGTCGTTCTGACGTGACCTGTAATGGGATGTCCTAAGATCTTTGTTTAGCAGCAGCGTCAACATAGATCCGATTTGAGTGAGATTGTATACCACGTGACTACCAACCCAGGTCCTACTCAGGACTCTCCCGACTGAAGTACTGGAGTTAGCCGTCCCTGCCCTATTTGACATGCATGTTCCTTCTGATGTTGACACCATATTTTGTTTGAATCATTGTGATTTTGTTAAAAATATTTTAAAAATATAAATCTTAAAAGAAAAAAAGAAGTTTTAATATCTCATCATCAAGAGCCACCTGGCTTAGGAAGCTGAAAGTTTGTATGAATCTTAATGGTAACAGGCCCATAGAAAGGAAAAAAAAGTCACCACCTGATTGTGAACAATTAGATTTTTGATTATGTCCCACTTCGTGATATTCCAGCTATATGACCATGATGACCTGTAAATAATCAAGTCTGGACAAACCAGTGATTGATCTCATGAGCAACATCCCAGCCTGGCATGGTGCTGAGACATACATCGATTGTTACACATGACAGGCATTCAGTCATTTGTTTTTCCCAGCAGCTTCCACAATCTCCAAGATAATAATTTCAACAATCTCGTAAAATAACCACAGCGTGATATTTGAGTACATTTATTTCTTGTAATGTACAATCCCCGACCTTCCACCGACCAAGCTGTTAGGTATATACAATATAAACTGGTATCTAGTGTCACAACATCAGTGGAAGTCATCATCAAAGTTGTAGTCTCCATCTGCATCCACGTTGTCCCCAGCAAATCCAAACGCTGATGTCAATGCATCCGATAGGTTGTCAGCAACTTTACCTGATACATATAACAGTTCTTTACCTGATACATATAACAGTTCAAGGAATTTCATCCAGATGTACCAGGTACCTTACATTTGGACAAACTTCATATTTGCAGAAGTTTATTCAGTTTTTTAAACATTTGCAAACTTATTTTTAAAAATGGAGATATTAATGTACTTCAATTCAACCATTATCAGAAATTGTAGAAAATTGGTATTCCAACTCAAAATAAAAGATTAGTGCATACTTTCTACCAGCAAAAAAAGGTCTAAACTGTCAAACTTAAATCTTTATCCGTATTGATTTGTAAACATATTAAAACAAAATGAACACGTTGCATCCTATCCTGGCACACATATGATATGTAGTGACACCCATACAGCTTTTCAATCCCACTGTCCAAGAGAACCACTTTCTTTACTCTACTTCCTACTCACCGTCTCTCTTCCTCTGCTTCTTCATCTTCTTAAAGTCCTTCATCCTCTGTTTGTTGAGCTGTGGGATGTCCGTCTTCCCTGCATCCCCCTTCTTCTCTTTCTTCATCTTGGCCTGTCTCCCTGTCAGCACCTGTGTAGATGACTTGGTGGACGATGCTCGACTACTCGGGAGCGACACCTTCACATTCAGCTGAAATGACAATAAATTTATAATTTATTGTCCATACATTGCAATCAATATAAACATAAAAAATTCGAGGAACTACCTATATTGTTTTGAAATATAGCAATAACCAAATGAAAATGTTGTGTCAAAGTGGGCATGATTGTGGAACAGTAACAGAGGCTTGAAGGTATGATGTCAGACATTGCGTAAAGAGATTTCAATTCTGATCACATAAATTTAGGTTACTGTTAGGTTTCCTCTCTAAAAAAGGATTATTGGTTTTCATTGTACAATGTTCTGTCAAAACTGCAAAACTCTTTCAAAGCAGGTGTAATAGTATTGAAATCTGCATAGAAAAACTATCCAAACTTTAAGGATAAGTGTTTAAGCATATAAAGTTCAAATTAGATATCTCCAGCTAATAACTGATGTAGAGTTTCATAGTACCTCCTGTTCATCGTCGTCATCCTCCTCCACGTCGCTTCCTTCCATGTTCTCGATGTCCTCGTCCTCATCGTCCTCGCTCTCTTCCATCTCTACAGCCGCCTCCTCCTCTGCAGGCAGGTCACACTCCTGGACAATTCCTTTCACTGGGCCCAGAGACTCCATCAACACGTGGCTGCTGCTCTTGGGTTTTAAACCTTTGGGATTTAATAATAATAATAATAATGTGCATTTATAATGCGCCAGATTCCATTCACCAAGTGGATGCTCATAGCGCTACACTATTATTACCCCGGTCAATGGATCAGTGAGCACTCGATTTTCATTCTCAGCTCCCTGGGGAGTATACAACCCAAGCTACCTGTAAGGCGCTAGAAGGTTAACAGCCACATTACCATCTCATCCTACCGGGTACCCACTCACTGCTGGGTGAACAGAGGCACATTTTGAACTTGTCACTTGCCTAAGGAGACACCACATGTGGTACATGTGCTTCAGTGTGGGGCAGGACTGAAGCCCTAGAAACTCTCAGGAGTCAAGCTGCTGAACGTGGTTACCCATCAATCTACTCTCCGAGGCCGACGTTGCTTAACTTCACCTGATTTGTAATCTGACCATGAAATTAAGATTACAGAGTACATCATCTCAAACCACACACACAGGCACACAAACACCTGAGGCAGGTACAAAGATTTCATGTTCCTTCAAATACTACTGGTCACTGGAAAATCAGCAGGTAGTTACGAATCTTGCTTCCTCAGGAATGGGTATGATAAGTGACATTGTGTAGGTTTGTTTATTTGTTTTACGCCACAGTCCGATACATGTCCTGCATTAACAAACCAGTAAATAATGGAATCTGGACCAGACAAACCAGTGACTGATATTATTAGCGTGAGATGCCATCAGGGCAAAATTACTCTTAATCAACAGCATCACCAAGCCTGACCACCTCATCCAATATGGTCGCCTCCCAGGGACAGCAATATTTATAGTCTGTTTGTTGCAATATCATACCAAAGAAATGCAACAGAGATATAAATCCCAAAGCAACAATTCGTCTTAAATGGCATGAAAGTTGTTTATTTTTCCATACCAACTTGTCATAATAATTTCAGATATTGTCATGAAGTAGAGAAAAAGTTGTTTAACAAACTCTCATGTAATTGTTTACTACTGTTTTTGGCCCATTTTTCAGTCATATTGGTCCACAAGGAACTCCACATCAATTGGGTAATGGTGATTTACTTTGCACACTTAATGCAAACATGCAGCTCATCTGGAGCTGTGCCTGGACTTACTCTGTAGTATTTTGGCTTCATCCTCCTTGATATCCTCGATACTGAATGCCTTGCCCATCTCCTGCACAAGCTCCGCACTCAGGTGGGTGGGCAGGCTGGTCTGCTCCGGGGGGTGGGTGTAGTAGGTGATCTTACCACTGAAACACAGCCGGAAACACTGACCGTCACCAACTACACTGTGCTGAGATGAGACAAAACCTACTTCAAGTGATAAATATAAAATCAGGAATAGATGTTGTCAAATTTACATAATTCAATTGCTGTTTTGCATCAGATTAATGTTCTTGAATAAGTTCAACAGAAACTAGCACTTCTCTAGAAACACAAATCACTACAAGCTACAGCTGAGTCGATGGTTTGGGACTAGGTTCAAGACGGTCATGAAAGGATTATGTTATTTTGAGACATGGTATGAATGGTACTAGTGAGTAAATGCAGCTACATACGTGGTCCAGTCCTGTATGACACTCCTAGCAGCCTTCTCCACGTCAGGCACTCCACCTTTCTTCAGCTTCCCTCGTCGCCGTGCCAACAAGGACAGGAACTCACTGGCTCCGTTGTAGTCGGGGAGATTGTAGTGTAACATCAGCTATAGGCAGTAAGTAATGGCTCATTAGCAAAAGATGTCACCGTGTTGCAGCAAATGGAAGTAAGTAGAGACAACTGAGAACACTTTTCATGGGCTAATCCAGAGATGCCAATGCACAGGGCACTAACACTTCATCCCGTGTCAGTCACATTAGTTTGTTGTCACTTTGTGACCCTTTGTAACATCCTGGATCCGCCTATTTGTTTCCACTTTTATTTAGTATTTATGGAGACATGTACACATGACACAGGCACAATACCTACCTGCTGTTTGCTGCATCTCTTCAGGATGGCTTCAACAGGCTCCACAGGGTCTGCTAACTGCTCTATCTATAACACAGCAAGTAGTGTGAGTTACATCAGTATACAGTGTACATGAAACACATCCCTCAGTCGGCATCACCTCCTGGACTGGAGCACATTATCAAGAGTATTGCATTGTTTTCATATACAGTGAAATATATCCAAATGGGTAGGGTTGGGACTTAATGTCAGTCTGGATTAGAAGCACTCCTTCCCCAATTAACAAGGAAACTGGGAGAACAGTAAAAATAAAGATGTGTCCACAAATTTATATACACTACACTCAAAAAGTTAAGGAGCACCCAATTCTTTCATATTACTAAAGTTAAACTGTAGTATACATGTTTTATACATTGAAACATGTTGAACCAAGTTCTGTCAACATCAGCTGTGTTGTACAATGGCACACTGATCTACTCACAAGCTTTCCCAATATGTGATAGATGTGTTCATTTTCAACTAAAACAATGGAGCACCATTTCAAAATGCCTGATATCTGTCCAGTGTACCCCAAATAATCAGTATTTTACCGATTCTACTGTAGGGTATGTAGACCTGCAAAACTGTCTTCTCCAGGTGTCGGTATCTTACCTTGACAACATTCCTGAGGACTGTGACGGTGTCCGAGGACATCTGTGCCATCACCACACCAGGACTGTCCAGCAGCTTGATGTGTTTGTCCAGCTGTACCTCCTGCATTGACCTGCACAACCAGACACAACCATGACTTCACAATCAGACACAACCATGACTTCACAATCAGACATAACCATGACTGCACAACCGACACAACCATGACTGCACAACCAGACAACCACCACTGCACAACCAGACACAACCATCACTGCACAATCAGACACAACCATGACTGCACAACCAGACACAACCATGACTTCACAATCAGACACAACCATGACTGCACAACCAGACACAACCATGACTGCACAATCAGACATAACCATGACTGCACAACCAGACACAACCATGACTTCACAATCAGACATAACCCTGACTTCACAACCATTCACAGCCATGACTGCACAACCAGACACAGCCATGACTGCACAACCAGACAACCATCACTGCACAACCAGACACAACCATGACTGCACAACCATGACTGCACAATCAGACACAGCCATGACTGCACAACCAGACAACAAATCACTGCACAACCAGACACAGCCATGACTGCACAACCAGACACAACCATGACTGCACAACCAGACATAACCATGACTGCACAACCAGACAACCATCACTGAACAACCAGACACAACCATGACTGCACAACCAGACACAGCCATGACTGCACAACCAGACACAACCATCACTGCACAACCAGACACAACCATCACTGCACAAACAGACACAACCATCACTGCACAACCAGACAACCATCACTGCACAGCAGACAACCATCACTGCACAACCGACAACCATCACTGAACAACCAGACAACCATCACTGAACAACCAGACAACCATCACTGAACAACCAGACAACCATCACTGCACAGGATAACACAAGCTCTATTCATTTCCAACCAACCATGGCTGTGACATCAGCTTCAGTTTCTCGATCAGCCATTAAACAATGATGTGCAAACATAACATTGCTTGAAACATAACCCTGACTAAAGTACCAAATTAGACTGAACTGCTCTCATAACCAAGGAATTGGGAAATTAGTCTACATGCCAAATGAACCAACTTTCAGTTGCATCACAGTGTGTCAGCTAAGAACAAACAACATTAATAATCGGAGAAGCTCTGCAGGAATGGAACCCATGGTCAGCAGATCCTGGCACAACTAAGGAATGCAACCATGTGCAAAGGAACAAGTTGCTGCACGAACTGAAGACTTGTGATGATGGCTGTGACTCACTTTGTGATTCCAGGCATAGCGCCTACACTGCAGGCTTTTGATCTCTTCAGGCTGTTGATGATGCTACTCTTCCCTGTGTTGGGGAAACCTGAAAAAAAACAAGGTCAGTTTCTGAATACATACCTTTCATTACTTTCAGAATCACTTACATGTATAGCTCAAAACACACATACAGGAGATGTCACTGCTTGTCACTTCATTGCATTAGGGGGTTCACCTGGAACAAGAACTTACCAACCACACCCACCCTGATAGTGGTTCGGATGTCCTGGTTACGACAGTAGTTGCCTAGTAATTTCATGAGCACCTCAGCACCCAAACAATGGCTGGACTTCAGCAGGTCATCTGTGACGGCAGACAGCTTCATCTTTGACCGGGCCTGGCAACATACAGAAGTCACTGACACACTTGCCTTTTCACAAACACAATAAGAGCTCATTAACATTGATCAGGGTACAGACACACAATCAGTCGTACTGCTATTATCATTTCTTTAACAGGGCCCAGATCACTATTTGTAACAACCTCCTCCTAATATCAACCTTGGCCTCAGTCAACAAAGTGATCTTAGCACATGTGAGTTTGGTTCAACACATTTGAACTAAGGCTTAGACAAGTCCAAATTTACTACCTGGGTACCCGACCCTACCCAGGTACCTGCTGTAGGTCTCAAGTTGGCTACAAAATCTGACAAACCTTGAAACACAAGACCCTAGGACTAAGATGATCATAACTGTACTTTAACACAGACTTACAACAATCACAGTGCAGCTAAGATAGGTTTATGCAACAGCGTTCTAATCTTAGCTCACATAAGCATGGGTACTGGCATAACCCGGCATAAGTCAGTACAAGGACAAGCAGCCACACACCTGGCTTGTCTAACTGCATCTGGAGACCTATATCTTCCCAGGAACCCAGCACACACAAGTATAAAGCTAACTGCATCTGGAGACCTATATCTTCCCAGGAACCCAGCACACACAAGTATAAAGCTAACTGCATCTGGAGACCTATATCTTCCCAGGAACTCAGCACACACAAGTATAAAGCCAACTGCATCTGGAGACCTATATCTTCCCAGGAACCCAGCACACACAAGTATAAAGCTAACTGCATCTGGAGACCTATATCTTCCCAGGAACCCATCACACACAAGTATAAAGCCAACTGCATCTGGAGACCTATATCTTCCCAGGAACCCATCACACACAAGTATAAAGCCAAATGCATCTGGAGACCTATATCTTCCCAGGAACCCAGCACACACAAGTATAAAGCTAACTGCATCTGGAGACCTATATCTTCCCAGGGACCCAACACACACAAGTATAAAGCTAACTGCATCTGGAGACCTATATCTTCCCAGGAACCCAGCACACACAAGTATAAAGCCAACTGCATCTGGAGACCTATATCTTCCCAGGAACCCAGCACACACAAGTATAAAGCTAACTGCATCTGGAGACCTATATCTTCCCAGGAGCCCATCACACACAAGTATAAAGCTAACTGCATCTGGAGACCTATATCTTCCCAGGGACCCAACACACACAAGTATAAAGCTAACTGCATCTGGAGACCTATATCTTCCCAGGAGCCCATCACACACAAGTATAAAGCTAACTGCATCTGGAGACCTATATCTTCCCAGGAACCCATCACACACAAGTATAAAGCTAACTGCATCTGGAGACCTATATCTTCCCAGGGACCCAACACACACAAGTATAAAGCTAACTGCATCTGGAGACCTATATCTTCCCAGGAACCCATCACACACAAGTATAAAGCTAACTGCATCTGGAGACCTATATCTTCCCAGGAACCCAGCACACACAAGTATAAAGCTAACTGCATCTGGAGACCTATATCTTCCCAGGAACCCAGCACACACAAGTATAAAGCCAACTGCATCTGGAGACCTATATCTTCCCAGGAACCCAGCACACACAAGTATAAAGCTAACTGCATCTGGAGACCTATATCTTCCCAGGGACCCAACACACACAAGTATAAAGCCAACTGCATCTGGAGACCTATATCTTCCCAGGAACCCAGCACACACAAGTATAAAGCTAACTGCATCTGGAGACCTATATCTTCCCAGGAACCCAGGACACACAAGTATAAAGCTAACTGCATCTGGAGACCTATATCTTCCCAGGGACCCAACACACACAAGTATAATAAAGCCAACTGCAGGCTGCAGCTGTGAGCTCTACCTACCAGATTGTCACTCTGGGTTTGTGTGGAAGCTTTGAAAGCCACAGATGGAAACTCATTGCGCAGATGTTTCAGCCAAGCCTCAACGTTCTCCTTTGGCACCAAATCTAAAACACAACCAACCAACATGTATAATGATGAAGCAAGAAACCTGGGTGTTTGGCCCAGTTTGTTCCATGAAAAGTAACAAATACTGTTTATTAGTGAAAACAGTTCAAGCAATTCCATAGGCAGATCAATTAATGTCAATGAAAGTAGAGTAGCCTCCCCTACCTCAAGCCACAACTAGCTTTGTGTAAGCCATGCACACAGGGTACCAACCTATCTTGTTGAGTACCTCAATCCAGAACTAGAATGTATTTTCACTCATCAAAACAGATGTCTCCCCCTCTGTTATACATTAGTTTAAGTTGTTCTTATAAATGTGCTTGAAAATCCAAAAGACAATAACAAATTATTGCCAGAAAACATGTTTTCAAGCAGATATATTCATCAGCTGTAGAGTTTTGGAGGAAACAAATGCTGGTTGTTAGAGACTAAGTCCAAATTGTTTCCATGGAAACAAAAGAAATTTCAAAAAAATAAAAATTGAAAATTATGAAAGGCGATAGTTGAGCACGTGGTCATTGCACTGGTATATTCTCAAGCAAAGATATTCATTAGTTTGAGAGTTATGGCCCGGAAACAAATCCTAGAATTGTTGAGACTAAGTGAAAATTGTTTCATGGTTCCCCTACCTTAAGCCACAACTATAACTTAGTGTAATTCATACATGCATTGTACCGACCTATCTTGTTGAGTACCAGCACCAGTTTCTTGTTGGTTCCACTGCTCAACACAGCTTGTTCCACCTCCGTGCACCGACTGCCCAGGGGATCACGCGCATCTAGCACCTCCAGCACTACGTCAGCAGCGTCCACAACCTGGACAAGGTTTAGGATGGAGTTTAAACATCCAGAGTCAAAGGAATGCAAACATTAAAAAGAATAAAATTGCTGGGGGTCTGGACTGAAGTAAGTTTCCAACCACCAAAATATTATGATTGGAAATGAAGTGCAACATATTGACTGCAACTCTACTTGTTAATGAAAGACACTTGTACCTTCTTGAACTCCTTATAGAAAGTTTTCAATGAGTTCTCTACTGCCTTCCCTTTCTTCTGGGCATCAGCCCCCTTTGTTGTTTTCTGAAAGAAAAGTAACAGGTTTTCCTTGTCACTCATGTACTTGTACTTGCAATAAGAGAAGCACAGATATCCATGTACTGTTACCATGCCAATGCATGCACTGTTACTGTGCCCATGCATGCTAATGTTACCCGACCCATTCATGCACTACCATCCCATCAATGCATGCAGTTCTCCTGGTAATGCATGCACTGATATCCCAATAAAGCATGCACCGTTATTCCAATAATGCATGCATTGCTATCCACAAATGCAGGCACTGTTATCCTGTCCATGCACTGCTATCCAACAATGAATGAACAGTTATCTGCCCATGCATTCAGTATACCACCCATGCATGCCATGCTATCCCACCAATGCATGCAGATCTCCTGCCCATGCATGCACCGTTATCCCATGATTTGCATGAATCCATGCACAGTTATCCAACCACTGCATGCACTGTTTCACTGTTTCTTGTGTCACAACCTTACCTTGTCAAACTCCTTCTGCTTTTTAAGAGCATCGTTCACAACAGAATCCAGATTTCTCTTCTTAGCCAGCAACTTTTCTCTCTCCCTCTGTCGTTTTTGTTGTAATTTTTCTTGGATTTCTACTTTCTGTATCAAACATAATACAAAATAAAATTAAACTTTGGCCTTCTTTTTTTTATTTTTAAAGATCACAGACATTCCTCACTTCATTGTTGAAAGAAAAATAACATAACTTGAAAACTACAAAAGTGTTAATTGTCTAGTAAAATAAACAAAGAATGTACTTTGGTTGGGGATTACCCAAGCAAGGTAATAATTGGCACTGATGCAGTGTTCAAAATGTATCATTGCTTTTTTCCAAGAACATCAGAACAGCACCTTGGTTTACAACCATGGTCTTTAACCTTGACTGGATGCACGTCTTATCAACCTATGATGGAACACTGGTAATCACACACGTCACTTCAAATCAAATTCCTATTAAACGACTCCATGGTAACACGCAGTTTGGATGCAAATTATCTATGAGTGACCTTGACCTTCAACTTTTACCAATCACATATTAGAAAATTCTTGTATCAAACCAAGGTGGTTTTACAAGCACTGACTGTAATTATAGCTTAAATCTTCATGCTGGTTGAAAAAAGATTTGAAAAACAAATATTCATGAGCTTCAGACCATGTTTCACCCAGCCTGATGACCCCACTCACCCAGGCTGATGACCCCACCCACCCAGCCTGATGACCCCCCTCACCCAGCATGATGACCCCTCCCACCCAGCCTGATGACCCCACGCACCCAGCCTGATGACCCAACGCACCCAGCCTGATGACCCCCCTCACCCAGCCTGATGACCCAACGCACCCAGCCTGTGGACCCCACTCACCCAGTGTGATGACCCCCCTCACTCAGCCTGATGACCCCACTCACCCAGCCTGATGACCCCAAGCACCCAGCCTGATGACCCCCCTCACCCAGCCTGATGACCACACCCACCCAGCCTGATGACCCCTCTCACCCAGCCTGTGGACCCCACTCACCCAGTGTGATGACCACCACCAACCCCATCATGACCCGTCTCATGGAATTCCCTCCCAACCTTATGACCTGTCTCATGGCACCCCCTCACACTCTAATGACCCGTCTCATGGCACCCCTTTGCACACTCATCACACGTCTCATGGAACCCCCTCCCACCCTAATGACCTGTCTCATGGCACCCCCTCCCACCCTAATGACCCGTCTCATGGCACCCCTTTGCACACTCATCACACGTCTCATGGAACCCCCTCCCACCCTAATGACCTGTCTCATGGCACCCCCTCCCACCCTAATGACCCGTGTCATGGCACCCCCTCCCACCTTGTTGACCCATCTCATGGCAACCCATCCCACACTGATGACCCGCGTCATGGCACCCCCTTCCACCTTGTTGGCCCATCTCATGGCACCCCCTCCCACCCTAATGACCTGTCTCATGGCACCCCCTCCCACCTTGTTGACCCATCTCATGGCACCCCCTCTCACCCTAATGACCTGTCTCATGGCACCCCCTCCCACCCTAATGACCCGTGTCATGGCACCCCCTCCCACCCTAATGATCTGTCTCATGGCACCCCCTCCCACCCTAATGACCTGTCTCATGGCCTCCCCTCCCACACTGATGACCTGTCTCATTGCACCCCATCCCACCCTAATGACCTGTCTCATGGCACCCCCTCCCACCCTAATGACCCATCTCATGGCACCCCTTTGCACACTCATCACACGTCTCATGGAACCCCCTCCCACACTGATGACCTGTCTCATTGCACCCCATCCCACCCTAATGACCTGTCTCATTGCACCCCATCCCACCCTAATGACCCAGCTCATGGCACCCCCTCCCACCTTGTTGACCCATCTCATGGCACCCCCTCCCACCTTGTTGACCCATCTCATGGCACCCAATCCCACCCTGATGGCCCGTCTCATGGCACCCCCTCCCACCTTGTTGACCCATCTCATGGCACCCCCTCCCACCCTGATGACCCATGTCATGGCACCCCCCTCCCACCCTAATGGCCCATCTCATGGCACCCCTCCCACCCTAATGACCCGTCTCATGGCACCCCCTCCCACCCTAATGACCCATCTCATGGCACCCCCTCACACCTTGTTGACCCATCTCATGGCACCCCCTTCCACCCTGATGGTCCGTCTCATGGCACCCCCTTCCACCTTGTTGACCCATCTCATGGCACCCAATCCCACCCTGATGGCCCGTCTCATGGCACCCCCTCCCACCTTGTTGACCCATTTAATGGCACCCCCTCCCACCCTGATGACCCATGTCATGGCACCCCCTCCCACCCTAATGGCCCGTCTCATGGCACCCCTCCCACCCTAATGACCCGTCTCATGGCACCCCCTCCCACCCTAATGACCCGTCTCATGGCACCCCCTCCCACCTTGTTGACTCATCTCATGGCACCCCCTCCCACCTTAAAGACCCGTGTCATGGCACCCCCTCCCACCTTGTTGACCAATCTCATGCCACCCCCTCCCACCCTAAAGACCCGTGTCATGGCACCCCTCCAACCCTCATCACAGGTCTCATGGCACCCCTCCAACCTTGTTGACACGCCTTATGGCACCCCCTCCCATCCTGATGATGTAGTTTACCTTTGCCTTGAAGTCCTCCGCCTCCTTCAAGACAGCTTCTTTGAAGGGCAGACTGTTGGGGACCCCTGGATCCTTCCTCTTCCCTGCAACAGCAGCAGGTGTAGCACTCACACCAACCATCACACAACATGAAAACTGATTTCCTAAAGAGCAGCCATCATTCTAATTTTAAAACTCAAAGTGTATTTAATATTGATGAGACCCCCGTAAAAGTTCATGACACTATCTCCATCCTTTTATCCTCTTGATGGTGCTTGATACATGTGATACCTCAGAAATGAATGTTACCTAAATTGCCAAATTTGTGTGAGTTACCTAAACATGGTAAACAGTCTGTTTCATGTGTCAGGTAATGCAATCGGCACATCAATTTCAAAGCTCTGCAATATCTCATTCCCTGGGAGTGTAAAGAATTGATGTCCTGTCTTATGTATGTACACTAATCGTTTCTGATGTCAACATATGAAATACAGAATCTGAGTGAACAGGGTACGAAAAACTAAAGGAAACAAAATGGTGAGAACTTACTTTTGTTAGGATTCTTTTTCTGCTTTCTTTTCTGCTTTCTGTTGTGTTCTTTTACCTGGTAATAACAGTAATACACATCAACCTAGGCAACAGTTTCTGATTTTATAAGCTCACTCGCATTAATAGGTATGTGTCACATCCAAGTTATACTCTGTCAATCTTGTTTAAATCAAATCATAGTGTTTGTTACCGCTAAACAAAGATCTGAGGACATCCCATTGAGGGTCACATCATAAGGACCTTCCAGCCAACCAATCAGAGTCGCTTACCAGATCGAGAAAGTGACAGTCGGAGTCGTGCAACCGCAAAATGGTATACTGGGGTATACTGAACGACAGTTACAGGCTGTAAGACTGATTCTGTCAACATGATCATCTATCTCTCGCTTCAATGGGATAAACATTTGAAATGGAAGAACTTTTTATCATGTCCATAGCCCCAGGGAAGTACAAGCTTGGCCATCGATTAGACAACATAAGATAGTTACACAATACATCACAAAGAACAATGAAGAACGAAGCGTGGTTTATTTCACGATAAAACATTGTTCTATCATGACATCATTTCTGAAGATTCGAACATGCGCTTGCAACTTGATGACATCGTAAATTGGCTAATGATATTTTTGAGAGGGAGGTGTCTGGCAAGTTCTTCCCCTTAGAGAGGGGCTTGGCAACACAGAAAAATGCAGTGGCCGAATGATTGCATCCATAAGTTGTAGAGATATGACAGTTAGTATTGGGAGGAAAGGTACAGATAATCTATGTGCAAATTATGAAAATATGTGGGAAAGACCAAATTAACCCCCCTGTTCATAAAATGGACTTGTCCGACATTGCGTATGTGGGATTCTATTCAGGGAATCATTATTATTTAAATACAGGTAAATATTATTAAAGCTTGTACATTTTATTAACATCCTTGAAGATTAATACTATAACTGTACATAATATTGATATATCATTTAAGAAATAAATGACTCATAGTTTATTCTCCCTGTTTTATGATTGACTAATGTTGACCTCTTGTTAGTTATTTCATTGGTCAGTAAAAGTTTGCAAGAGGTCTTTCTGTCGTGACATGTAATGGGATGTCATCAAATCTTTGTGTAGCACTAAGATCTGATTTTATTGAGATTGTACACTCTGTCATCCAAACTCCAACCTGGAGGCAAGAGCCAGTTAACCCTGAGTCTGACTACCTTGTGTGTGCTTTGATGTGGGTCAGTTTGCTCCCATATTATTGTCTGTGTGCAGTCAAGCGTGTTGAAGTGTGGGATTGCATGATCAGCAAGTGCTGAGCAGCAGGCCAGGTCTGTCAACATGCTGAACATGGTTCATATTGGGCGCAGACACAAGTCACCTTCACAGAGAAAGTTGGTGCTATTTTGTACCATTTTGGTCATTTGAACGTGAATAGAATATTATATTTTTTTCTGGCTTGTTTAATATGTTGTGTGAAGCTTAACTATTTTTGTATATAGTTTTGTATAGTGAAGTAGTCATAGTATGTAGCTAGGCTGTGTAATCCATTTGTTTTTCAGGATGTGTGAGTATGAAACTGAGCTGTGTTAGTGTTATTAGTTACTTCAGTTGTTTAGATGTTACTATCATTGAAAACTAAAGTGCACTTGTACAGTATAACTTTCTAGTTTTCATGATGCAAAGATAGTCATATTCTATATGTCCCATATCATTCTGAATAACACAAGCATTTGTTTATGTACTTATATGATTGTGTGTATATAATTTAGTATTTTGGTGTCACAAGCAACAGACAGACTTGCTTAAAAGATCTGTAAAGCTGTACAGATAGACTCTGATCGAATCATGTTTGTATTTCTGTCATCACATATGACTGCAACTGATGTGTATGCAAATAGGTGGATGTGTGTAGAATATAGATGCATATATGCCATGGTCTTACAAGTATGGACATATACTGTATGAACAATCTAATTACGGTCTATATAATGTACTGCTGGACATTGATGAGCATGACTGGATTATGTAATGATGGCTATGTGTACACTATTGCTTTCATGTGCACTGTGCGGGAGATTTGACTGGCCTACTTGTCTAGATGATGCATTTAATTTTATGATTCTGATACTAAAACCAGATATAGAGTAAAAGATATGACTGCTGCTGTGTGTGTGTGTGTGTGTGCGTGTTCCATATTCCATTGTCTTCCCTGAGTGCATGAATAATGTATGAACAATCTGATTACAGCCCATATGACTGGATGATGTGCAAATGGATATTGTTTCTCACACGTTACTCAGGAACTTGATTTAACCTGCACAAGGTGCATGTTGATGTGAAAAGCTAGTTGCACCAGACAAAACCAGGTTGCACCCTGGTCCCATAAATTTATCAAAGTTGAAACACAGATGCATAAACTTGTCTAAATAAGTTGGTTGGTTGGTTGGTTTGTTGTTTAACGCTGCACTCAGCAATATTCCAGCTATATGACGGCGGTCTGTATGTCTAAATAAGCAAAATCACAGATCTCCGATGACTGTGTCCTATATCATGAGAACGAAACACAAGGATAAGTGACATAGTATTGTAAATAAAACTAAGAGACATTGAGTTTGTTCAAATATTGATGTTGTGTAAGTAAGCATGGTAACTGTTGGTCAGACACAAATATGAATTTTCAATGTTTGTAATTTCATAAATTCTAAGAAGTTATGAAAATTCTATTGCTGCAGACTTGAGGCTGAATATTGGCCTCTGAGCAGGTCTAGATAAACCCCTGTCCCTGTGTATGACATGATCTCACCTGGAAGTATGTGAAACTGAATAACTGCATCCTGTACAGTACGGCATAGCTTTATGTTAGTGTACGCTGTGTAGTGTGTGGTAGTGTAACCTGTACAGATTCCTGTGGAGTTTATTGGGTGAATATTCATGAAATTGTGAGCAGTTTAGTATAGATTATGCAGTCATAGTTTAGTTTAGGTTAGTTTAGTTTAGAAGTAGCATTGGCTACTTCACCAATATTTTAGTTAATCTTGTCGTAGTACTGGAAAGTTTAGTTAAGTGGTAGTTTAGTACAGTAGTTTGTAGCAGTATTTGTCAAATAAAATATTAAGCTTCATGCCTTTAGTTTGTGGTTGTTTGCGAGTGTATATTATTAAGTTTTGTCAATAAATTAACTGAATCCTTTCATCATGTGTTCTGTTGTTCATGTTGTTCTTGGTCTAGTGTGTGACAGTAGGCCTACATATTGTTACATATTTAGAATTTCTGTCTTTCTACTTTCTATCACAGTGGTTCAAAAACTTTGAATCATTAAAACCAATTCAGCAGTAGCTACGGTATATCAAATTTTACTCCCATGTCCAATTTTCTTCACCGAGTCACCAAGTTTGTTTCAAAAAGAACTCTCCATCCACTATAGACGCTTTAGATTCACACTCGTTGAATTCAATGCAAATGAGGAAAAGAGGCATCCAAAGTCCAAACCTTTTTGGCAATCCTGCCTCGCATACGAGTTGTCTGCCTCTTGCTCCGGGATTCTGAAAAAGAGCAACACATTAACATGTGAATAAAAACAAAGTATCATAACAGTGGCACTGTAAGTGCAAAAGAGACAATTTCCACGAAGTACTTCACAGACCTTGAAATCAACCACACTCTGATGATGTTCACTTGTGAATACAGAACAGGGAGTTTGCAGTACAAAGGCCCAATCAACAGGAACATATAAACATATCCCGAACTTGTGTTGAGGACAATCAACTACCACAAGGTTTGAATTTCCATATATCTAAGTGTCAATGGCATGGTTAAAGTAAGTTCTCCATGCTTTAAGGGCACACTTAGAAACCATGCATGTCGTCAGAGGCGCCTAAATAGATTGGGTGGTCAGGCTTGGTTACTTGTTGATATCATGTAATTGTGATGTTCAAGATGTCAATCACTGGATGTCTGGTCCACAATGGATTATTTACCAACCGCTATCATACAGATGGAATATTATTGAGTGGTGTTAAGGACAAACAGAAATTTTGTTCTAAATCTTAGACAAAAATCAACGAATGTCAAAGTAAGTTACTGTTGTTCCAGTTATAACACAACGACATGTACATACGCTGAGGGTGCAGTCGGAAACACAAAACCTGTGGCCGATAACATGAGCAACCACCCACACCATCAAGGTACATATGGTGGCACGCAATCAATCTTGTGATACGCGCCTATCATGCTTATATATGTGATAATAGTCGGCGGAATTTGGGATACCATCCTCGTTTACATTGATATATGTGTCGGTAACAAGATTGACAGCTATATAGATCTAATGATAAATAATGTTTTAGGGCGTTTACAAAAAATAATATCGACATTCTTCTTCAAAAGGTGATCAGACGTAGTCTAGCAAGCTATTTTACTGTGGTTGTCACGAACACTGGTCTTACTTAAAAATTTGTTGACCATCTTGATTAAGAAATAAGTCTACTCCTGAATCTCCCGAAACTGCAGTCGACCGACATCAACATGTGCTCGATCCCATAATGCAATGCTTAACAACATCAACATTTTGGAAACACTGTCTGTTCTTTTTTTCAATAAACCGGGGACAAGCCTGTCGTATATTTACATATAACAATTATATATGTGACTCATATGCGTTTGTTATTGTTAATTCAATGTTATATTTGACTCTCGTTCGCCCGTGAGCGGAAGCGTCCAAAATGGCGGCTCCTATGAGTTGAAGGCCAATTGTGATTGATTTTTTTACGCACATCTTGACGAACAAAGAAATTCCCTGAGCTTACTGTATTTTGTGTAGAATCTTGGGTTTTGACAAAGCTCCGTTTATGTCAGCAAACACAAATACTGGTATGAACTCTATCCGAGATAACTCATTATATTTTGATCGTAAATATGAAAGCAGTCTTTATTTTTCCTTTGTCACTAGGCCAATAAGTTATTATTTTGAGCAAAACCAGATTATGCCACCGGAATAATCTGATTGTATTTCGTGTATGTCTGTGTAAAATACCGTAAGTTCCTCCCGTCTGAAAATATAGAGTGAAAACGCCGTCAGGCCTATAACGTATATGGTAAGGTATCGGTGCAAATAGAGTAGCTGCCTTACACGTTATTTTTACAAGTAAAGCACTAACTAATTTTTCATGCATTTAGTCCAGTTATATGCAAACAATTGCGATACTCCTATAGTTCGATATATCATTAAACTACTACTAGCATCTCTGTTTAGACAAATGGATTTATCTTTCATGATCACTCAAATATATCCTTGAACATAGTATACAGACATTGCATAGTAGAGCATTCATGTGTTACCTTTATAATTATGAATGTTCAGTTGGGTCTGTGTGTGAATTATTTGCAGTTAGTTCGCCTGCCATCATGCCCAATAAGCGGAAGAGAAGTATGGCACCGGATGGAAAGGAAGAACGAGAAGATTCTCCAGCGCCTCAAGCTAAGAAAAAGAAGAAACCTCTCCAATATGATGTTGTTAGTACCTCACACCATTTTGTAAAGCTACCACACTTTTTTAACACACTCTTAAAGTGTCCTGAAGGTCATTCGTTTCAAGCTAAATTGTCCTTTCCATACATCGACCAGTACAACATTTACAGTGTGTACCAGGCTTAGATCGATTCATTTCCTAGGACATTGATGGTCTGTGATTTGAGCAACTAGTTCAAATCCCAGATCTAGTTAAATTCTGTAGGTCTAGGAAGCTTAGCTAATAAAGGTGATAAAGGCCAAATGTCATGTGTATGTTAATACTAGAATGTAATGTACCGGAAGTGATGTGAAAGGAAATGTTTGGTCCAGTCATTGAAGAAGGCTCCAAAGCTTTTGGCACAACCTGCATTGGCTGACTATTTTCCAACATGTCCTGAAGACTTTTTTCATCAGATGGTCAGGACATAGAATGTCCTATAAAAAAACGTGTTAAAACATGGAAATCTCCTATGCTACTTGTGTCAAGCATAACCAATGAGTATTCTGTAGATTTACATTTATCTATCACCTTTTTCTGTTATTGCTTATCATTAATGGATCATTATGACAACAATTTTTTAAGGATAGAAATATGTTTTAATAACAAGAAAAATTCCATAAAAGGAAAGAACTGAATAATATTGTTTGTTTGTGTTGATTACTTCAGTATGAGTTGAGGTGTCCAAACAATGGTAAAACTTGTATCCTTGTGTATTGTCTGCAACTTTTGTATTTGTGTGGACATACAGTGAATGTTGCCAATCATTGTTACAGCAAGACCTATGTCAAGAACTGTATGACAACATACGGAACTACAAAGCTGAAGATGGAAGAGTCGTCTGTGAATCCTTCATTAGAGTACCCAAAAGGAGGTAATCTATAACAATGTTTTCATGCCGTATTTATGAGTTAATTTCACACTTCTTACCCATGCCTGCTGGTTTAATTTTAGGATAAGGCGTGCTATAGAGGGTTGGTGCTTCAGAGTCAAGGCTTCATTAAACATTGGACGAATAAACCAATATGTGCACATTTATTCCTGATTGAAAAGTAGACATTATTATATAATATTTCCAGACATTTTCAAACATACAGAGGTTAAAACCAAAGTGAACATAAAATTTGTAAATTTTCTTGATCTTACCTGAATTTCGGGATTGAATGTGGAATGTGTTTCATATTCAGAACTTGTATAAATGATTAATTTTTTTGCAAACTGATTCTAATAATCATGTCTCCGTTAACTTAAATTTAACTGAACTTAAATTTGCATGTTATTATAGGCAAACAATGAAGTGATGGTGAATTATGAACCATTTCTGTAAATTTATTATCCGAACGTTAAACAGAATAAAAACTGATCCTTCTGTCTGATGGGTTAGACATGAGATACATAGCTTGTGACACATTCTATCAAATGGGTTTGACATGAGCATTGAAAGCTTTAAGAGGCACAGGTCAAGTTTTTTAAGGAGACACAATTTGCTTTCGAGAGTTAGGACCCTTAGACCTGCCAGAAACCTTTGATTATGGATAAGAATCCCAGATTCACCATGATTATGTTTCTTTGTTGTTGTTTAACACTGCAAGCAGCAATATTCTAGTTATATGACAGCACCTGTAAACAACTGAATCTGGACCAGACAATCCAGTAAGTACCCCCAAGGTGCAATGACATATAGCTGCAAATATGACTGAAATACTGTTCGAAGTGACGTTTAACCCAACTCACTTGCTTACTCATCTTCCTGTGGCAAGGGAGTTTACTGACTATAAAATTCCAGTTTCCACCTTGTGGTTTTGGCTGGACTAACAAGTCTATGCATAGTCCAATCCAAATCGCACAATGGAATCAGGTTCGTAAACTGCAGTGCAGATTTTGGTCAACTGCTTGATTTGCAGGGAATGTGTAATGCCAACTCCACGTTGACAGACATTTTCCACATCTTTTCATGTTTTAAATCAAGGTGCTCAAGTAATTTGCTGCTTATGCATATAGATCTTGATTATCCATGAGATCGACTTGACTGGGTGCTGCCATTTTGTTTAAAGCCAATGCAAATAATATGATAGGTGGAATCTGATTGGTCAGTAGGAGGGACATAACTTGAAATAGCCACTGGTGGCACTACGATCGGGCCACGAAATTCCAACGAAGTTCGACCAGGGTAGAAACTGGACTTTTACAGTCAGTTAACTCCCTTGCCTTGGGAAGATGTTGCTCACTCAAAGTGTTTTAAGACATGACAGTCAATTTGCTACTTAGGACATAATTTTGATCGCCTTCCCTCACTGCATTTGCTTACAAAGCGTAAGGCAGCTAGCTACCGTATCAGAAAATTAATGGCAGATATTTAAGCTAAACATTTCTTCCAGAACTGCTGCGGACTATTACGAGGTGGTGTCTACTCCCATTGATCTACTGAAGATAGGCCAGAAGTTGAAGACAGAAGAGTATGAAGACATTGACCAGCTGGCTGCAGATGTTGAACTCATGATTAACAATGCAAAGGCTTACTACAAGGTGAATACTCTGCAATACCAGTGATGTGGATTCAACTAGATTTATCTCCTTACCAGTGTGTGAAATAGCCACAAAATACTGCTTGCCAGGTGGGCTAGCTAGACATAAAGGTTACTAGCCAGTTTCAGATTTCATGAGCTCAAATATGCGAGTTTACTTTTCCAGAAATTTGATTCTTCAAAGGTATCGTGAGTCAGATGTTATGAAAAGAGATGACAGTGCAACCTCAATTCGTTACAGATATTAATTTGATTTTCGATAGTTGTATTTATCTACAGAAGCAAGAGAACTTCTTTATTTTGATCAACTAAGAGGCGTGCACACAAAAATCAGTTAAAGTTTCAGTCGCCAATCAGGCTAGGGACAGTTCAGAATCTTTAGTCAGACTGACACTTGTTAGCAATGGGCTAGTGGGCAGGTGGCTATTTCCCACACTTCTCCTAAATACAGTGCCTTACTGTACATTTACAACATTCCTCAATTTGATTGAGACAGTAGTTTATATGTCCTGGATTTGTTGGTACCCATCGTGTATTTGTCTGCTCTAAATTTCTCTGGTTGATGAAAAAAATGTAAGAAAATACTACCATTTTAACATCCAACCTACTTGGTTTCATATGAAATTTTCCAACCACAGAACATGTAGAGTACTCAATAACACCTGCAGATCTGAAAACACATAATTAAATCTTTTATTCTGTATGACTGCAAATATTGCAATAACTTTTTTCTGATCCAGTATTTTGGGTAAAGAATATAACAAGTTTTCTTATTATTTGTCTCATTTTACAAAATATCTACACAAAAATGATGTTTCCCTTTAAAATTGACTGACAAACCTGGAAGTAATTTTTCTCTCATATTGTTATCTCCCCTGTAGATATGACCACAAAATGGCAGCAGCTCACCACGCTGAATAATGTTTACACTTCAGCATGTAGAAATTGGGATCTACATGTACAATCAGTGTCATACACTTTAGCTCCCAATATATCGCAGTACTTATCATGATACAGATACCTGTATCGCAATATATTGCCATACAATTTTTTTTACCAATGTACACCCATTATTCAGGCTTTGTGGCTGAAGTTTTTTTCACATTAACTATGAAATGTGTGATGGTGGAATACTGCTTCACTGATAGCTGATCCAGCCTTGAAAGTTAAGTTGTATGTTTCTCTCCTCAGAAAACATCTCAGGAGTACAAGGATGCCTGTGAAATCTTGGATCTTTTTAATGAAGTGAAGACAGACATCATTGCTGAAGCATTTGGGGAGGCCAGTCGCCCCGAGAGGCGAAGGTCCCGTCGTGCTGACCCTGAGGAAGATGATACAGTTGGAGAGGATGACGACGGGGAGGACATTGAGAAGTCCAATGGAAATGGGGACGATGATGATGTGAGCAGAGATAGAAGTTAACTGAAACAGATATGTTATATGGATTGTGTGTAACATTGGTGAAGGCTGCAGGGTTTTACGCAATGCGTCAGTATTTAAAAATATAGAGAATGGACGCACAAAGACAAAGCCAT